CTTGTGGGTGCCGGCAGCGGCACTGGTGCTGAAACAAGAGCCCCCCATAAATGCCCTGCCCCCGCCCCAGCCCAGGTGTCCTGGCCCATTCTAAGGGCACCGACGGCACTGACACCAGGTACGGTGCCACCAGTGTACTTACTAGCCTGCAGCTCCGTGCCCACGAAGGTCACCACTCCGCGCACGTCCACCGCTGGCATGGAGAGCATGAGGGCTAGCGTCCTCCGGTCCCACAGCAGCAGAGCCGTCCCGTTGCTCGACACCATGTAGGGCTTGTAGGCGGCCACGAGGCCATGGGGCCAGGTGGGCGCCAGGGTGGCTGCTTGCTTCTTGAGCAGGCTCAGTGCCTGCAGGCCTGCCACGCAGAGGGATGCTGCTGACCCAGGGCTCATAGGCCGCCTTCTTGGCCCACCGAATTTCCCCCACAACGGGAGGGAGGCCAGGGCTGAGGGGTGCCAGGGGCTTGTAGGCGGTGGAGCACCCATGGGCTCCACCTGGGGCATTGGACCTCATCACCCGCCCTCCGCCTGGGCCAGGACCCACCGCGCACAGGCTGGGCCATCCTGCCCATGCAGTGACACCTCTGCTCACCTGAGGACGAGCTCCAGAGCAAGGTGAAGGCCCTGCTGTCCATGGCAGCAGGCAGCCCCCCGGGCCAGCTCTCGTTGTAGGCAGCCTGCGGTGCGCCGCCGGCCAGGCTGAGCTGCTGCAGGGGCTGTCCCGGTGCCAGCCAGTACAGAGCGCCACGCTGCCCGTCCACGAAGAGGTGCTGGACGCTGCCGCGGGCACGGAGCAGCACGCGCGGGGCCATGCCGGGCGCCCGGCACACGCCGATGTCCCTCCGGTTACACGCCAGCCAGTAGAGGTCCCCCGAGCGGATGTCCACGCGGGCAGAGCAAACTGAGCAGGCAGAAGGCACATGAGCAGTTATGGGGATGTCCCACGGCCCCGCTGCCCAGCCATGGGTCCCCATGCCCCTCGGACCGCCAGGAGGGCTTGCACGACCCAGGGCTCTTTCTTCGCCGTCCTGCAGGGTCTCACCTGGCAGTGTAGTCGGGATGGCCTCTCTCCTGCCCGGGTGCCCCACGATGCGCAGCAGCATCCCGCTGTCATCCGTCCCGTAGAGCACCGACCTCTGCCAGTCCACGTCCTGCAGGTGCAGGGCCTCCGGCCACCTCTGCACCAGCCGGCTGTGGGCCCCGGGGCCCACCTGCACCAGGGAGATGCTCTTCTGCTCCGCGTACATGATAGACAGCGCTGCAGGGGGACAGGGCCACACAGGAGATGAGGCCAGGCAGGGCCACGCTGCTGCGCTGCCCAGGGAGCATCCACTCCCATGTAGCCTCCTCCTTACCCCCAGGGTTCATCGGGGAGCAGAGGGCACCTGCTCACACCTCACCCAGCCTGAGAGTTTCACCGCACAGGGCACAGCTCCCAGTACTAGCCAGGGCAAGCCTCAAGCCCTAGGAACCAATCTCCAACCCGCAGGGCCGTGTCCCCATCACAGACCCAGGCCAAGGAGTGTGGTGGTGGTGTAGAGCTGGTGAGGGACGCGGCCTGCCCCAGCAGCCCCACTCACCCGCGCACATCCCCGAGGGCAGGAGGTAGAGCCCCTCGGGACAGGCACACTGGTAGCCCTGCGGGTGCACAGGCGACAGGAGGCAGAGGTGGCTGCACAGCCCCGGCGCGCACGCGGCCGTGTCCCCTGGCAGGAAGCAAGTCACCGGTGTCGCCCCCTGCCACTGGGGCTCAGCAACCTTCTGACAAGCCCGGGCGTCCCCAGTGGCACAGGAGCTCTCGCCAGGTGGCCAAGAGGACCCCCAGAGGCACCCAGCACCTCCACAGCGCTGGGGTCCCGTGGGAGCGCGTGGTACTCACGAGGAGGCTGCTGCAGCGCGTGCAGCACCGTGAAGGCGGAGACAGGTGCGCGGAGCAGCACGGCCTGATCGCGGGGGGCAGCCTGGGGTGCCGACACGAGCTCGGCGCTGCCGTCGGCCCAGAAGAAGCGGCTCTCGAAGGCGGGCAGGCCCAGCGGCTC